CACACTCAAGCAACACAGAACTAGGAAATTAGATAGAATAGCATAGTAACAGTTGCATTAGCAGGAAGTATCATTGGTGGGGTGATACTCTACCTGTCTGACACGATGAAGTGATCCTGCAGCAAAAAATGGGGAAAATACAAGAGAAGGGGTCGTGTGTTGACCAGCAGCACATGTGGTAGACTCCAGACAGCGCTACAAATGGAGTCGGCTAGATGGGGGGGGGGGTTAGGTAGGCAGGAGAAGAGAGAGTGAACAATGGGGAGATGCTTTTCTTATATACCCCAAGAGGGGGTTTGGGCATGAGCCACCAAGGCATGTAGTCCCTAGGAAAATGCTAGAAGCTTCCAGTTCCTTAATGGGTCAAAAGAATGAAATTAAGTGTTGGACAATTGATTTAATGTTTGCTAACAGCGACACCTCTTAGAGTAGATGGCTTAAGACAAAGAGAACGAAAAAGTAATTCCAGGTGCCTGGCCAGTCAACGATCTGGTGATCTGCATCTGGTGGGTATGTTTGACTGCTCAGATAATCTCATCATGGCCAAGTTCTATTGTTTAACTTGAGGATGAGTACATGCAGTAATGCTAGGAGAAGGTGTGGGGGGGAAGACTGCCTGCGTGTTGGAGAAGAAGTCTTTCAATGGAGTCCTTTACAGGAACATTTATTTATTTATTTATTTCACTTTTACCCCGCCCTCCCCGCCAGGCAGGCTCAGGACGGCTTCCATGAACTGACAAGCAGTATACATTCACAGTAAGTATAAAAATATAAAACATCAGTTAAAACACAACCAATCAATATAAGACATTCATTAGATGGCGATAAAACTAAAGAAACATTTAGGCTTCTGGTGTAAAGCATGGCTTCTGGTTGCTGGCTGCTGCATATTTCTGGCATCAGAAATATTTATTCTTTATAAAAGGCAGGGAAATGGGAAAACGGTTTTAAAGTTTTGATATGAACCAAACAGTTGGAAACCCAAAAGTTCCCAATATGAACACTATTAACACTGTTGGAGGCTTCTTAAAATTCAGGCAAAAATAATGTAAACCTTATAAGATGTTTCTTTAAAATAGCAGGCAGTTGTAATGATAGAGAACATATACAATGACTAAACCAGGGTTCCCCTGACTGGACACCCTTCCAAATACTGTGAGTGTTATGTATTGAAAACAGTTAAAGCTTGAGTTCTAAACAGGATTGTAAATAGACCAATCAGAGCTGCGTAATGTTCTGTAGGGAAGCACTCTGATTGGGCTTTATCTGTAAATAGCTATTGGTTGTAATCTGACATAGGGGCATGGCTACCCAAGCCCGGACTGTTTAAAAGAGAGTCTGTTGTTCTATGTTTTTGTCTCATTCTTGATTTCTTCTGACTACGTTGAATAAAGCTGATTCACTGTTCGCAAACTGTGTTGAGTCTCGTACTTAGCAGTTGGTGACGAGGATGGGATATTAGAGTGGGTAGGCTGCCCCGCTGAACCGACGCCAGAACGGCGGACGACCAAGAAGCCCCTGAAGGACGCAGGGCAGAAGAACGAGACCCGGCTGATCAAGTGGCTGCAGCACTAGAACCAGTGCCTGCAGCCTGAACAGTGATGGCCGTCAACCCACGGTTCGAAGCATTTGAGCCAGACTTGGAGGACTGGGACTCCTACCTGGCCAGGTTCGAGTTCCACCTCCAGGCAAATGAGGTCGATGATGAAGACCAGTAGAAAGTGACGCTCCTCAGTTCCTGTGGAAGAGCTGTATTCTACGTTGCTCGGTGCCTGGTGGCGCCCGCTGAGATCAAGGACGTGTCCCTGGCTGACCTGAAACTAAAGCTGAAGGGGCATTTTGCGCCGCAACCATCGCAGATCGCTAGTCGGCATGTGTTCTATAAACAGTCTCATGTGGCCAATGAGACGATAGCAGAATACGTGTCAGCATTAAGGAAGGCTGCATGCTCGTGCAACTTCTCCGACCTGGAGGAAGCACTCCTCGACTGGCTCGTCTGTGGCATGAAAGACGAGAAGCTGCAGCAGCGGCTGTTTGCCCGGCAAGCCCTCACCTACACTGTGGCCTACTCAGAGGCTATAGCCGTTGAGGCCGTGGAGAAGGCAACATAAGCAGTGCATCAGAACCTGACCCCAAGCCTACAGGGGGCCAGCAAGTCAGTGCACCACGAATAAACAAGCGAGTCCGAAGGTGAGCATGATGACGTCAACCACTCTCAAGCTTTGAGGGTCAAGCAGACCCCAGTGAAAACCACAACAAGGCGGGCCTGTGCCGGATGCGGTGGAGACCACGAGTGGGATCACTGCAGGGCGAAGGACATCGTTTGCCGATCCTGTGACAAGCAGGGCCATTTGGCCAAGGTCTGCAGGTCAAGAAAGAAGAGGACACCACCATCATCTCCTTGAGCACGTCCCCAGGTTCGCGGCCAGGACAGCGCATAGTCCACAGATTTCCATCTGACCAACTGCTGTTCCTGCCCATCGACCATCCTAAAGACTGGATCACGATCCAGGAAAAAGATCCACGTCACTGTCCTACTGAATGGTGTACCATGTGAGATGGAGGTCGACTTGGGATCAGCCGTGACCGTCATCTCATCTGAAACGTTGCAGCATTTGTTCCCGCGATGGCGTCATTGGCGGTTGAAGCTGAGTAGCATTCACTTCTCCCAGAGGTCATTTTGGGGGGGATCGCAGGGGATCGCAGTTCCCCCGGGTGAGGTACGGGGGGCGGGGCACATGACGAAGTTTCTTAATCGATGCTGATGGGGCACATCCTACAACAAGCAAGGTACAGGCCATCAGAGACGCCCCACGACCTGGGTCCAAGAAGGAACTTTAGTCCTTCTTGGGCATACTTAATTTTTATCATGCATTTTTACAGCATAAAGCATCTATTGTGGACCCGTTGCACAAGCTCCTAAACAAGGGGGCTAAGTGGGAGTGAGCTCGCAGCACGACTGTGCTTTTAAGGCGATCAAATCGTTATTGTCTTCTGATGCTGTACTCACTCACTACGATGAGTCCAAGCAGCTGGTTCTGGCTGCAGATGCGTCACCTTATGGGGTGGGGGCTGTCTTAAGCCATGTAATGGCAGACGGAAGAGAAGCGCCAATAGCGTATTATTCCAGGACACTCACTGCAGCCGAACGGAATTATGCACAAATTGACAAAGAGGGCTTGGCGCTCATGGCTGGCGTGAAAAAATGTCACGATTTTCTTTACAGGAGACCTTTTGTGATGGCCACGGACCACAAGCCTCTCCTCAGAATTTTCGCACCTGACCGGCGAACGCCCAACATCTTGTCGGCTAGGATGTTGCACTGGACAGTGTTCTTGTCAGCATATGACTATGTTTTGGAGCATTGGCCTGGCAAGAACATGGGGCATGCTGATGCCCTCAGCCGCTGTCCCCTACCTGAACTGAACTCTGACCCTGCACCGGCCCTCGAGGAACTGGCCAAACCTCCGGTGCACGCATCGGACATTGCGACCGCCTCTGCCAGAGACTCCACTATCGCCAGGGTGCTCAACTGGGTGTGGAGGGGGTGGCCGGTGGGGTGTGTTGCAGACGAATTCAAGCCGTTTGCATCATGGCAATGCGAACTCTCTGTCCACAGAGGATGTTTATTGTGGGGAAACAGGGTGGTAGTCCCCCCCAAACTGAGAAACCAGGTTTTGGAAGCACTGCACGAATGCCACCCCGGCATAGTGCAGATGAAGGGACTGGCCCGAGGTTATTTTTAGTGGCCTAAAATAGACTCGGACATTGAGAGTTGGGTGCAGAGGTGTCACGAGTGGCAGTTGTCCCGGCCTGATCCCCCACATGCCCCGGTACAACAGTGGGAGAAATGTCACCAGCCCTGGTCGCAGGTCCACATCGACTTTGTGGGGCCATTTCAGGGGCAGATATTTTTAATCATTGTCGATGCGTACTCGAAATGGTTAGAGGTGGTTCCAACTTAAAAAAACGATGGCCCTAACTGTAATCAATGCACTGCGCCGCATTTTCGCTATGCTTGGGTTGCCTGACACACTCGTGTCAGATAACGGGACCTGTTTTACCGCCTCTGAGTTCCAGGAGTTTTTGACGGCAAATCTCATCCAGCACAGCACGTCTGCACCATTCCACCTGGCTACTAACGGCCAAGCCGAAAGAATGGTGCGGACCACTAAGGAAACTTTGAGCCCCCTGGTGCAGGGAAACTGGAGCCAAAAGGCGGTGTCGTTCCTCCTGCACCAGCACGTCACTCCACACTCACTGACAGGGCGGAGCCCAGCAGAAATGCTAATGGGCCGATGCTTAACCACTCTCCTCGACCGAATGCACCCGGACCTAACCACGTCCAGACCCCCACCCAGTGAGTCAACTGACCGGACTAGGGGTTTTGAGGAGGGAGACGCGAGGAATTATGCTGGAGGGCATTGTTGGTTGCCGGCCACAGTAACCAAGGTTCTGGGTTTGCGCACTTACACAGTGCAGTTTACAGATGGTCGTGTGTTCAAGCAGCACATCGACCAACTGAGAAAGCGGTGGGCTGAGGCAGACCCTGAGCCCACTACTGAGGTGGCAGACGTACCCGTTTCGGATGAACGGGTAGAGCTTCCAAGCTCGGACAACTCCCACGAGGGAGAACCACCCAGTACTACTACAGAACCCAGTTACCCGCCTGAAGACAGTTTTCAGGTAAACTGGCCCCAAGGTATACAGGATAGCCCTTCCAACAGGGAAACGCCAAGCAGTCCTCCAGTTATAACATTAAGATGGTCACAACGGAGCAGGCAGCCTCCTGGTTACTTGAAAGACTACGTGTGTTCCCAGGTTGTTCCATCTTAGGGGGGAGGAATTGTTATGTATTGAAAACTGTTAAAGCTTGAGTTCTAAACAGGATTGTAAATAGACCAGTCAGAGCTGCGCAATGTTCTGGAGGGAAGCACTCTGATTGGACTTTATCTGTAAATAGTTATTGGTTGTTATCTGACATAGGGGCGTGGCTACCCAAGCCCGGACTGTTTAAAAGAGAGTGTGTTGCTCTATGTTTTTGTCTCGTTCTTGATTTCTTCTGACTACGTTGAATAAAGCTGATTCACTGTTCGCAAGCTGTGTTGAGTCTCGTACTTAAAAGTGAGAGACGTTAGGAACCCCCCCCCCCTCCATGCTGGAGATCTGTCTGTTCCTAGGACTGTTCCCTGGATAACTGAACTACAGTCCTTCCCTGTGTGGGTTGGTGTTTTCCTTTTTAAACAGAAGTCTGCCCTTTGACTCTGGCAAAACCCCTCAGCAGAGTCTCATCTGTCCCTCTGCTCTGTGACACTCTGTCACTGTGCTACAGACTGAGAGTTTTCTCTCAGAAGGAAGCCACTAAAAGCCCCTTCTCAACAATAACTCTCTCTCAGAACTGAGCTCTTCAAACTGTCCGCTCTCTCTCCAAGCTTCATGACCTCTACTGCCTAACTGACCAGACCTTCTCCCCTCCTGGATACCTTCTGTTGTCATGGAGGTGGCTCACCAATCAGAGTGAGCCTCTGCCACTGTCTACACTCAGACTGTTTTTACTCAGTTCATCACAGCTGCACAAGGCTCTTGCAGGGCAGCACAGAGTATGAGCTTTGTGGCAACTCTCAAACACCAGTTTCTACAGGCCACTGTTCTCAGACCCCACACAGGAATACCAATGAGAACTTAGCAAAATCAAGAAGAAATTACCAATACACATACAAGAACAAATGTATATGGATACACCAAGAACCTCAATAGGGCACTTTCAACCTCCTGCCAAAGATACGTAAATCTGGCAACCCTGGACATCCCATAGTCTCAAGCATAGGCATCATCACTGTAGGAGTATCAGTATATATGGACTTCATCCTGAGACCATACATTATTAATTCCCCCAGCTATGTTCATGATATTGCAGACTTCCTGAGGAAACTGCAATCCATTGACCATCTCCAAGAAAACAGCATTCTAGCCACCGTGGATGCTGAGTCTCTGTACACCAACATCCCCCATCAGGATGGACCACAAGCCAGTAGAAACATCATTCCTGACAACACCACTGCAGACCTTGCTACTGAACTCTGCATGTTTGTTTGTACCCACAACTACTTCAGGTTTGGTGAGAACTTATACCTTCAGATCGATGGCACAGCCATGGACTCCACAGTATGCCAACATTTTCATGGCTGATTAAGAACAGTGTTTTCTGAACTCCTACCCATTGATATCTCTCCTTTATTTGAGATTCATAGATGACATTTTCATTGTCTGGACTCATGGCAAAGAAGCCCTCGAGAAATATGGTGGAATGGGGGAAATCTATGGGATATGGTTGTCCCTGGGTATAATAAGCTCTATAGGAAGGACAGGGAGATGGGGAAGGTGTTGTGTTGTAAATCAGAGGCCACAGAGTCAAATAACACAGAAAATATGAAAGGAATGAACTCCCTGATAGAATTGTTACAGGTGGATATACTACTCATTATTATTACTATTTACTTATATCCCCTTTTTCTCCCTGATCAGGAACTCAAAGCAGCTTCTCATATTGTTCCCCTCTTCTCCACTTAATCCTCACAACAACCACCATTTGAGGATAGGTTAGGCCAGAGGTGTTGAACTCATTTGTTATGAGAGCCAGATCTGACATAAATGTCAGTTTGTCGGGCTGGGCCATGTGTGCCATAAAATGTAACACAAGGACTTGCTAGAAGCCCGAAGAAAATGACAACAGAACATTAATGGTGGTCATGTATAGCTCACAACTCAAGCCAGTTCAACATATTATTAACTGAATAGCAATAGCTAGCTTGATCGAATTGTGTGTGATATGCAAAGGGATAGTAGACGTCGAGGTATCAGCACTGGTAACGAGCTACTAACAGACAGCCTACTCCTGCTCATCCTCTAATGGGATTTATGCCATAATGTGTCAACAATGCCCTTCCACCCTCTACACTGGACAAACAGGACAGTCCCTACAACAAAGAATAAATGGACATAAGTCTGGCATTAGCAACCACAACATTCCAAAACCAGTGGGGGAATATTTTGACCTTCCAGGACATTCAGTTGCTGATCTAAGAGTAGCAGTTCTCTTGCAAAGGAAATC